GTCTGTCAGGCCATGGTATCCCTCCGGTCGAGCCGGCCCATTCGTGCCGAAACATGGCTCTCCCACACTTAATTACCTACATTGTAATTGTCGTTACAAAGTTTCACATTTTCGTGAACGTTCAGGGAACATGAAATAACAGGGATATGAATATGAAAAATCTATAATAAAATACGATCGACTTTCATTGCTTGCAATATCAATTAATACCAATCATTTGTATAAAAGTTAGTGCACTGCAGAATATGTAAAATAAATTGTTTGATTATGATTATTTATGATCTGGATTAAAAGCTCGGTACTTGATTGGGTAAATTCTAATTTCATTATTTATTTTCTTCAATTGCTCATTATTTTCGGTTACGAAATTGCCAAATATAAAACAAATAAAAGTAAATTGAACAAAGCTTTTCGAGTTCCGTTTAAAAGCAAAATTTTTCGTCCAGTTCGTAGTTAAAATGATTTTGTACTGCGAAATCTTTACAATGTGAAATGTGCAAACACACATACATACAAGTGCCAACAAACATACATTGTCCGATGCATTGTTAGCGCAGATAACAAAGCTCATATTATTATCTCTCGATCATACTTGTTACTAAATTATCACAATCTCGAAATTTCAAATGAGTCCTGAGCCGAGTCCCAATTATTGCCCGTATCGTACCTACACGATAACTTCAACATAAACGTCTGGAGTGTACAATAATAGCAAGCTACTTGTAAACACAAAGGTTTTTCTTTTTTATTGATCGACCCGTTATTGGTTTCTATGGCAATCTGTCTACCAGCCCAAATTAAAAATATCTCACTTATGTAACGTGATATTTGTTTACACAAATCCTACTGTTTATTACAAGTGTATGTTACTAAACGACGTCACTAAGGATCAATTTTCCGGTGGGCAGACGTTCAGGCAAAATTATTTTCTGTCGACCTCAATATCATGTTGTTTTTTCTAAACACAAATAGTATCTCTTAGAAATCACTCAATTTAGACAAAAGTATCAAGTACCGAGATCGTTGTTTAAAAGCAAGAAACTTAGTATGGCTTTCCAACTTTATTGTAAACATTGAAACCATTTAATAAAGTAAATTTTATACGGGACGCAATTGTTGCCTCAGACAAAGGTATACGTAAGTTAATCATACAAAGCAAAGGGAGAAAAGATGTGAAAGCACCAATTTGGATTCTGTTACTATTTCAAGCTTTATATTTTCTACAGTAGGTTCAAAAATATAATTAACTTTCTCTTAATATCATGCTGTCATTTCCTCTTACTGGCAATATGGATTAGTAGTTTTTCCTATGTTACTGCAGTTATAGACAGTGAAGGTTTAGGAATTTTTGAAAATAGCGGCGCGCGTCAATCTGAATTCAGTTTCAGCTAAGTTAGTTCCGTTGCATTTTTCAATTTCAATTTCAATTACCTGCGTTCTACCTACTATTAGTACGTACTGCAATTTTGAAATATTTCGCAACCATATTTTAAAAGTTGTACATTTTATTTTGCTACGCATGTCACTCCCCGCTCGTGTAACAAATATATCGATGTTATAACGAACGACTATTTGCAATGATTTAACATTTAATTGAACAGAATTTTAAGATCACAATGAAAATTGTGACACTATGAAAATTGGTCCCCAATTGTAACTTTCATAACATAAATAGATTCACGTGTGATATAGTATAGGATGAGATTATAACAGTACTGAGCGGTTGGTAGTGTGCAATTCGCACGTGCATATTAGTTTATCCGTGAGCTCGTGGTGCAAGGTGAAGGTTTGTTCGCTATTGTATACTGATTCCCGCGTGTTACCAGACTCGTGGTAACAACTGAACGTCGGACACCGAACGCGAACATTGTTATTAGCGGCCACATGTCCATCACAAAGGGGACTTTAGCTGGTAGGTACCGGTATTTCTAAAAGGAAACGTTTTATATTCAATCTCGTAATGTTTGGATTAAAAATACTCTCTCTATTGAAGCATTTGCTACTTATTTTATATACCCATAGTCAGAATTTTTTAAACAGCCGTTCTATTGATTTGAACAAAAGTATAAAGGGGTACTTTACCACGGCCTGGAGAATGAAGACATTGCAACAGAGGCAGGACAGTAAACTGGTTTCAATTTCAAGGTCTCTAGCTGATCTTAAGTTGCGACACGTGACGGAACTCTTTGTGATATTCTTCAACATCCAACATTTAAGTGTGTGAGAGAGCTATGCTTCGGCACGAATGTGTCGGCACGACCGGAGCGATACCACGGCCTCACAGAAAACCGACGTGAAACAACACTTGCGTTTATTTCGTCATATGAGTGAGGTCACTGGATGCACTTGTAACGCCGCTGGTGTTTCAGGTGTCCATGGGCGGCGCCGGTTGCTTACCATCAGGTGATCCGTCTGCTCGTTTGTCGGCTTATTCCATAAAAAATCCCTTTGAGCTACAGTAGCCAATTGCAATGATACATAAAGACAAAATTTGAATATTCATAATTTTTGCAATATGAACGGCGATAAAGTTTGGATCTTATCAGGTTTTACAAAATGAAACGCCACGAGCTCCGGCCATCTCCATTTCGCCTCTCCTATTAGATGAACCCAAAAAACATGTTTTTTAATTCGTCCCGATCCCAGGTATTTTGTGACTACCGGTTTCATAGTCACGTCTCAATCATCTTTATTTCTCTTACATTGTGGGGATGATTTCTGCAACTTTGACCTCGGGTTCATTATACAAATGAATTTGTGCTCTATTTTTTAGTGTATAGTGCATAACTGCATAGCCTCTGGCTGCACAGAGAGTGCACAATGCAACGGGCTTGTGCAGAGTGCTCCCCTCGGCTACTTTTGAAGGTCAACGGTTCATAAATTGAACTTAATGTTGCTAGTTGCTAGCGATATAAGTACCTAACAATGAACAAGATGGTATACAACGATACACAATGTTTCTGGAACAATTGAACTGAAATATAAATTTCTCTTTAATAAAAAATAAACCTAATAATTAACAAACGTTTAGATTTTATATTTTTTTTTAATATAATTAATTTGTAATATCACTATCTATAAATTATTAATTCATATTATAAATACAAATAATTAAAAACTAAAATATTTACACCTTAGATGTTTATAATTTGGGTGTTTCTTCAATTATTAAGGCATTGGCTGCCAATAAAAAACTGTTGAAGGCAAATCCTCCGCTAATGTCGGTCACCGGTGACTGCCATGGCGTTTAACGTGTTAGGCTTTGATTTGCAAATAAAGACAAACAATGAAACTATATTGCTTCAAAGGAATAAGTGAACTATTACAATCATAAGTCATCGTACGATGCAAATATAAAGTAAATAATAACCGAGCTGAGTTCCACCCGTATTGTGACGACGCAGGAGACGGTTGCAAATATAAAGTAACAATTTAGTTGCATTTCAAAGGTAGTTAATAACAATACGTTGACGGACCAACAACGGTCTTTTGGGTATATTAATAACAAATAAACATAATAAGACTTGTTCTTGAAGGTCCCGCTTTGGAAAGATACTGTATTTAGCATTTCCTTTCAAATTGGAATCTTGTGAGAATCTTCTTATTTGAAAACGGTGACAGTTTAAACATTCAATCTTTTACAGGGTAGGGTCGATTCTTTACTTGTAGTAAAGTTTAAACAGGATATTCACTACCCTTAATTGTATAAGTGTTGTGATGTACCTGATGCCTATGACGATACTCCAGTGGTGCGGTGTGCTCAGTAAGGAACTGACGGGTTGCGCGTTCGTACGTTGACACCCAGAGCGGAGTACGGTCATACGTGATTTACTTACGACTTTACAATTTGTGATTGTGATCCTCATTACTTGCACTTTAATTAAGTACATTGTAAGTAAGTGCACTATATATGCTTTTAAACGTTATTTAACTCGTCGAGTACCGGTTTTATAGACACAATTAAAGAACAATAGGTCGCGGTCACCGGTGACCGCTTGGTGTTTGACAGATTAATGATACTTTCGTCACTTTCCCTAAATCTTGTAAATAACAATTTTGAAGAAAATAAAACTTTCCGTTAGTTTTGTCGAATTAGAAACTGTTAATTGAACAACATGTATTCGGGTTTTGTACGTGAAATAGTAGCCGCCTATTTCGATTTGATTGTGTACCGTCCGAAACAAAAACTTTATTTTTATTTCAATTATTAGTTCAAATAGTTTTTGCTTTGCAATTTTGCGATATTGGTACCGGAACTTGTACTAAAACTATTAAATGATTTTCAGACCTTTGCACAAAACTAATTATAACTGCCGCTGGCCGCGACTTTTCGCGTTTATTATCTGTGATCTTCTTTGGGCCTCTGCTTCAGAGAGATACTTAGGGGTTTTATAAACGTATGTAATATTCAAAGGGGGTTCTATTTAATTTCATGTCCACTTTTTGCGTTAAGGCTGAGCGCTGTCTAGCGACTGAAGCTGTTTATAGTCTGTTTATAAAACGGCGAACTCTTAACAGTTGTTAAACGTAACGGCCCAGTGCCTTTGATAAATAATTCAACATTAACTAATATTGTCTACAATATTTTCTTAAGAAAACTTAAAATAATAAGATTAACAATGTAATAGTAGCATCTTATCAAAGTGTACCCGTTGTAGAAGAACCATGTTTATAAGGATAATTCAAAATTAAAAACAAAAAATTATTTGTATGCAATTTATAATAATGTAGCAATGCCTTGCGAGTGACTGGACTACTTGAATTATTTAAAAGTGACATGTTAGAGCGACCGGAAGGTGACGGAATTATCATAATACTGTGCTAAGCTGCATCTTATTTACTTGTTTGTTTTTACTCGATCTTACGGCAAATGCGAATCGCGAAACAGTGACTACGGCAATGCGTGAACCTGTAATTCATACACCATCCGGCGGCACCTCTTACTAAGTATCAACTATTTATATCACTATTGAAATATTGCATAACCCACGTCCTTAATCATGTCGGATTTGAATAAAAAGTTAAAATTATCACTTGTGAAATAAATTGCACAAAACATAAATCCAGAGTTGTAAGAATACGTTCAATATCTTTATAGATACGTAGCTGGGATAAAATCCAGGCTATCGTCAAGTCTGAAGAAGGCCTCGGTATCGAGTATGATGAAAATGTCATCTGTGATGTTTGCCGATCTCCCGATTCGGAAGATGGCAATGAGATGGTATTTTGTGACTCATGCAACATTTGCGTGCATCAGGCCTGCTACGGTATCACCGTTATTCCAGACGGTAAGTAATGAATTGTATCTTTCACATTCTCATCCAGTAAATTTATGTATGTGTGAGTAGGGTATTATTTAATATAATAAAATGGTTTAACAATGCTGACATATATTTATATCATTTCAGGTCAATGGCTTTGTAGGCCGTGCGGAGACGGTGTTAGGCCTAGCTGTGTGCTGTGTCCCAACCTTGGCGGTGCCATGAAATGCACGCCATCGGGTCACAAGTGGGCACACGTGAGCTGTGTGTTATGGATACCCGAGGTCTCCATCGGCTGCGCGGAGATTATGGAACCTATTACTAAGATATCTTCCATTCCAGCCTCCCGCTGGTCTCTCGTTTGTGTTTTGTGTCGTAATCGCAAAGGAGCTTGTATTCAGTGTTCCGTAAAGACTTGTAAAACGGCATACCATGTTACTTGTGCATTCAAACATGGTTTAGAAATGCGAGCTATTATTGAGGACGAAAACGCGGATGATGGTGTAAAATTACGTTCCTATTGCCAAAAGCATAGTGTTAATTCAAAGAAAGAAAAGTGCCCAGGTTCAGGTCAGGAGGAGGAGGATGAGTTGAAACGAAAGCGTAGGAAAGATATGACGTCGGAGGAAAAGACGCAAGCTCGAGCCGCTCGCTTGCATGAGATTGAGAGGGAGTTCGATAAGCACGTCAGTGTTAAGGATATTAGTACACATCTCCTGGACGTCGATCAGGACGCCATCAATTACATTTACAACTATTGGAAGTTGAAAAGACGAGCAGGGCACAATCGTCCCTTGCTGCCACCAAAATCAGACGACACCGAGGTGTTAACGCACCGACAGGAACAAGCCGACATTGACAAGCTCAAGATGTTCGTGCAGCTCAGACAAGATCTGGAGAGGGTCCGTAATCTATGCTATATGGTGAGCAGAAGGGAGAAGCTCTCCCGCTCATTCTTTCGGATGAGAGAGCAAACATTTCACAAACAAGTGGCTGTGTTGTCAGAGGCCGGCGATATTCCTGAACAGGAATTATCTGCAATCATTGAGGCTAATCACGGACCGTCAATCTATGACAAATTATATTCTCATGATAACGCCAAGGATCATAAGAATGATTTTGATCAAGTATTGGCCCGAATCGCACCGGCAGAATCTGGTGACGAGAAGAAGAAGGATCGTAATGGACTAGTAAAAGGTTCGAAGTCTTCAAATCCGTACAAGAAACATTACGTAAACGGGTCACGACGCAGTGGCAGTATGTACAGCGGGCTCTCAAGTGAGGAGAGTGGGACAGAAATGGCGCGACCTGGTAGGTTCCGAGGCAAAGCTATCGGGTCTAGCACAGATGATGAAGGCAAAAGAGCTGGAGCCTCGCCAAAGAAAAAGGTGTCTCCTAAAATTAAAGGTAAAAGATCTCCTAAGAAAACTGAAAGGAAGAAAAAGAAGGTTCCACAATCTAAAGCTCTCATTGAGAGTAGCAGTGATGAATCTATGAATTCCAGAATAAAGAAGGATCGATCTCGCAGCAAGACGTTGCAACAAATGGAAAAGGAGATGACTGCTGGAAAGATGGGTCAGTCCGGCACAGACAGCGACGATCTCATGCCGATTAGACCGACCATGAGGAACAATAAGTTCCCTATTGACATATACTCCGATAGTAGTGAAGACAACAAAGCCGATATTATGACAGATCAAGTTAAAACAGAGAAAATTAGATCTGATAAAGAAAAACCGGATAAACTTAAAGTTGAAAAGTCACCTAGTGGAAATGATTCACAGCAATCCTTACCGAGAACAAAGGCGGCTATGAAAGAATTCATACCTACTCAACCTGAAAAGAAACCTACTACTAATCCTGCTCCAGAAGAAAATAAACCGGTACAGAAAAAGAGGGGCAGGAAACCTTCTAACAAAGACAAAAAGGTGCCACCTACCAAAATAGAATCCGATGATGAAGCTAAAAATAAAGAAAATATTAAATTTTCTAAACAAAAAGACCATCCAACGGATCTTATTGTTCCCCAAAGGCAAGCAGCAAAGAAAGCCTCAGAAAACATGCGGACGTCAACCACAGTGGTGAAGAAAGATGAACAGGTTCCTGAACAACGAGACCAAAAGCAATCGAGCGGTGACGATTTGAAACCGAAACCTTTAGTCAAGCCCTCGAAGAATAAAGGAAAAGAAATTAAGGATGCACAGTCTTCTTCTAAAGTTAGAAAGAAGTCTAAGGAGGTCGAGAAGGAACCAATTTCATACGTGCCGCAAAGACAAGCCGCTAAGAAGGCAGCTGCACATATTAAGAGTGGTTTGGGTACCAAAGTGCCTCCCACAGAGAATGATACTGACAAAAAGAAAGATGACAAATCGGAAATCAAGTCACCCAAAAAAGAAAAAGATGACACTAAAAGTTCCAAACCCACTCAGAAGGAAAGTTCTAGTTCTTCTTCCAATTCAAGCAGTAGCAGTTATTCGTCCTCATCTAGTTCTGAGGATGAACCAGAAAAACCCAGTATTAAACCGACAGCCAAAGCGCGCGAGATTAAACCGGCCAATACGACACGGCAGCCGTCAATGTTCTCGCCACCCGGCACTAGACCTACAGTGGACTTGCCCTTTCTCGACAGGGTGTCAAGACCGCTGTCTTCGACTAGTGCCTCGAGTGATTCTGACAGCTCTAAGGCGTCAGACGGGTCCCGATCTGGAAGCCCATATCCTAAGAGGCCAAGGCGAAGGCGTAAAGTTAAAAGTGTGTCCAATGATGCGTCCCCACGCAAGGCGCCGCCAGATAAGAAGCTTAAAACTTCCGAACGGCGGTCCGAGTGTAGGGTACCATCACCGACTCCTGAAGGAGAGGAACTTAGCCGACCCAGTGATGCGCGCTCTGCCACACGTGCTCGGACCAGAAGCACTACTTCAGTCGGAAATATGCCTAATAAGTCTGATGCCCGATCTAGAAAACCATCCAAAGACGACACCCTTACCGCTGGACCCAATAAAACCCCCAAAGAGAGTAGCCAGTCCAGTGAACTTCCAACTGAGGAACGGAAAGAGGACGAGGCGGTAAAAATCAAGGAAGATGTAAACGAGGATATAAAGGAAGTGCATACTGTTGATGTTCCTAAAAATAACGTTAAGAGTAAGACTAACAAACTCAAACGACGTAGCGAATCTAATGATGATAAAGACAAAATCAATAAGACTATTGAAGTTGAAGTTCCACCACTGCATAAAGTAAGCCCGAAAAAGAGTGCCGAGCCTAAACAAAAGTCGTCCATAAGCAGACGAATGAGTGTCAAAGAAACTGCGTCAAAAGATCGGGTACCAAGCAATGATTTACGAGAACCAGCTAAGAAAGATCGAAGGCCCAGTGTAGCTCATAACATTGCTGAGTCAGAGCGGACCTCAGGGTCACCTAAAAAGAAGACTAGCCAATCGAAAATTGAAATAGAGTTACTGCCGATTGATAGTAAAAATCCTCTACACCTTAATACTGACTATGGCAATGACGATAAACATTGGCTTCCCAAGGCTCCGAGTCCGAATGCCATTCCACCACAGGTAGAAAAGCCTGGAGGAAATGAAAAGTACATTGATGACAAATCTATGGATTCTGATTTTGCCGATAAGAGTAGCGTCAAAATGATAGCTAAAATTCAAGCTAATCTTAATGAAAATACTATGATCAAGTCACCTAAGACGCCGATGGACGCGAGAACAATAAGTATTGAACACATTGATACAGTTGAAAGCGTCGCACGGAACATGAGAAAACATTCAGCTGAAAAGAAGTTCATCACGCAAGATACCAGCCACGTGCAAGGTGTTGAAATATCTAAGAGCGCTAAGATACCTTCCACTGCGAACCCCTATCCTAATAGGTCCATGTTCTCGCCGCAATCAAAAGAGAGTGAATTCTTAGATTTTGGTATGATGGCTGTCGATGATGGATTTAACCATGACGATATTATAAAACCGTTTGCAACTTATCCTGAATTCTTTTTCAAAGAAGATTCCAAGCAAGGAGTGCAGGAAACTCTTAACTTGGTGGATCGTCTTAGAATTAGACTGAGCACGAAGAAAGTGCCGCCTGAGAACCCTGATCAAGAGGAGCCTATAGTGGTCACTGAAGAAAATGAGCATAAAGATAACGATATCGCTTGCAATCTGGTAAAGGCCGATGACGAGAAGAATAGTTCGCCTTCTAAGAAACTTATTGCTGAAAGACCAGTGGAACATTCGCCACCCAAAGAATTGACACATCACAATGTTAACCATGTCTCCTCACGTATTTCTTCATCTATTGAAAGAGATTTACCTTCGGGAGATGCTGCTATGGATGCTAAAGAATTCCAACCTATTGCCATGACAAGCAACGAAAAATGGTCTAGCGTGCCACTATCTGTCTCACAATTAGACTCACAAGACAGCCAGTCTGCCAATGATCGCAAATATGACAATTCTAACTCATACGATGACACCAAGGAGCCTATAAACATGCAGTCCGATGTACAGTCTGTTACAGAAGAAACAGCTGACAATATGTCAGTATCTAAACAAAGCGATGATTCGCAACCTTTATCTGTCGTTGACCATTCTGTGCATAGCAACGACGTGGAGCTACCTCACGATAATCAGAACTATGACAATAATGAGATGATACACTCGGACTGTGCTACTATATCATCGCCGCAGTATGTGAGCCAAGAGAAATGGCGTGAAAGCAAGATAACTACGAGACGATCGTCGGCCTCTAGCACTAATTCCGAAGCTTCTATACACTCTCATAAAAACGCTTTGAAGTCACGTTTGACCGTAAGTGATCTACGTTCAGGTAATGTAATTCCTGAAATAGATACGTATCCACCTATCCCGGCGTACTCGCGGCCTGTCGAGCCTTCAATGCCACTGAATCAGTACACGACGTATCCTGCTGAAGCCTCACCGTTCCTAAGTTCTTTGCCTCTGTTTGCCGGCACATCGGCGCTGCCCCTACCGTCTCCCGGGCCCGGCCTCTACAGTGCCATTCCATACACGTCCACGCCACCGTTACCTCTCAAACCGGCCTTCTACAGTGCTGCCTTCACATCTTCCTCACAGAATATTGCACTGACTACAGCTATGATTGCTCCACCGACACCAAAGCCGTTAGACTCACCGCGAGACGACATCGATGTGACTGGAAGTGATAAGTTTATACACGTTGTATCCAGTCCAAGTATTAGCGTTGATTCCTATGATACTAATAGCACTAGAACAGGAACTAAGATGTCAAATGACAACAGCAACGAAACCATGACAACTCTCATTCCACCGGATTCCAGATCCCCACCAAAACTAAGCAAAGTTACTAAGTTTCCGAGCAAGTCACCGGGGAAAAGCCCTGGTATATCGCCTAAACAGAGTGATGTACCAAAAGGTACCAAGCGTCCCAGCAACCGCAGCAACAGAAGCCAAAGAGGGCGTGGGCGCTCTAAGAGTCGGGGGCAAGGATTCCCCGTTGACTACATGGGCAACTCAATTCAAAGCAAATTGGTTGGCACAGTTTACGACTTTGATGAAGAAATCGCCAACGATGGCGTTGATCTAAAAGCGCTTCGCGATAAACGAAAATCTATTGATCTTCGAGACGATAGAAAATCTGAACATTCATATAAGGACACATCACAATCACCTCGCGTCTTAACTCCTCCGCCAAGTAAAAAACCTCCGACGTCTGATAGTAAACCGCCTCATTCTCCTGAGCCTGTAGATGCCAACTCGTCTCCCACGTGCTCTGAGCGCGGGGCAGGGTTCTCACAAGTAGCGCCGGTCTTGCCCGGGCCTGTTGATATGCGCACGTATCAACCTTTTGAAAATCCTGCGCCTGCGACAGAAAACGCGTACCACTTGTTGGCATTTGCCAGCGGCACTGCTGAACAGCAATTGCCTGAAATTGATGAAGAGGTCGAAAAGCAATTGCATTCCGAATTGATGGCAAGTAATCCCCAGACCGGTTCACCGAGTCGCCAACCGCCTGAACCTATAGTTCTTCCTAAAGAAACTTTTGTTCCACAGCTACCGAAGGTCTCATTATCGGACTCCAGAAACCAATTGAAGGTCAAAATCAAGGGACCATTTTTGGATGCAAATTATTCAGCGAGCTGTTCGCAGCCGGTGGCACCACCGCCGCCTGCGCCCATAAATGATCCAAGCACTAGTATGAACAACACACCCAACGCCGCGGCCGTCGCGGCGGCTTCCAACATCATGTCCGGGTCCACTAACCTGCGACGCATGCGCAAGAAGGAGTTGCTGCGTCAGTACTGGACCCAGGACATGAATATGGACGAACCGTCCAATAACATGTCCGTCGGCCCAGTACCACCACCTGCTGTTCAACCACAAATAAACCGAACAGTCATTACCATTCCTAAAGCAGTCGCGTCTATGACTAGTATTCCGACTCGAGAGGACTATAAGAACGACAGCCCAGTGGAAAAGAAGACTAAACGTAAAACTACGAGCGGTCTGTCGAGAGAATTGAGACATCTGGAAGTGAGCATGAATGATGATATTGACCCATCAGACGATGTAAAACTATCCACAATAGCCGGCTCGTCGGGTCCACCTGCACACAAGCGTCGTGCACGCGCGTCAGCTAGCAAACCAACGCGACCGGTCGCCCCTGCTGAACCAGTTGCGCCGAAACTGAAGATTAAGATTGGCTCCAACACTGTGCAACAGGTCCCAGCTTCTAACACTGTAACTAGTGAGGAGCCAGGAGGCTCAACTATCTATCGCCCTCCCAAAAAGCGACACTTGGCTCACAAACCTAGCTTGGAAGACCTTAAACGGGAAAGCATGAAGTATCGTAAGATGGTAATGGCTGATTTTGAAGAAGATGAAAAGACTGCTAAAACCAAGCCGAAAAGTGATAAAAGTGAGAAACGTAAAAGGAAAAAGGACAAAAAAGTGGAAAAACTGCAAGTGGTAAACAGTGAAAGTGATAGTGCAAAGTTGGTAATAAAAATAAAGCGTGCTAAGGAGGAGGAGGCAGGCGGAGCTCGCGCGGGTTCGCAGTCGACGAGCGCGGCGGCTGAAGGCGCGGCGCCGGAGCCCGCCATCGACCCCTTCGAGTACGACCCGTCGGCGCCCGACCCGCTCGCCATCGACCCGCCCTCCTACTCCGAGGCCACGTCTGCCATGCGCAAGGTGCGCACGGACAAAGTGACGCCAATCCGGTTAAAACTGGCGCGCAGCTCCGAGGGCTCTGGTTACGTGATGAAGGAGCCGGTGGAGGGCGCGGACTCGCGGTCCGCGCTGCCCGTCAACAACAATAAACATTGTGAAGTGAGGTGATATAAGCCGCGCGCTGCCCGAAGTGTCAAGCGTAACAAGGACAAACATAAGGACAAAAAACATCGTAAGACCGTACATTTTAAGCTTAAGAGTAAAAATCGTGGAAGAAAGGCTAAAAATAAAAAGAAGTAAGGGCAAGGACTAAGTGAACTATGTTACAATAGAACAAGTATAAAATCTCCTGTATAGTTAAACTAAATACTGATATTGTCTGTATATTTTTACAACAGTTTTATCTCTATCATGGTGTAGTTTATTATTACATATTATTATATTATTTATTTGTATAAACGGAAAGCTCAATGATTAACTTAAAGTTATTCTAAGGTATATAATATTGTGCATCATGCTGTGCACAAGTAAATCTTATTATAGTATAGCATATATATTTTTGTTAATGTTACTGTTTTACTTTGTGCCTCATATGGAATCTCATTAATTTTCATGAATTAATTGTGTAATTTTTGAAAATAAGTTATGTATTTAATTATAAACATTTCACAATCATCACATACATTCATTAGCGTATCCATAGCAATTACACAATACAGCAATCAATATGTACATCCAAATTTCAGTATTCCGGTTCTAGTGCAGTGAACTTCATTGCGCTTCTCTGTCTGAGAGTCAATACTGTAGGAGTTCTGGCCAGGTTGTAGGTGAACATTATAGAGCCAGACTTCTTCCAATGTACAGAGAGAAACGATTCTCAGGCAACTTAATGGTTGTTAAACAAAGTTGTTGGTAGACACAATTGTCGGCAAAATTACACGAAACTAATCAAATTATGGTTCACATTTAACCAAAGATTGACTACAAATGTTACTGCACGCAAATATGGGCATTAATTCTGATAATTTATAAATTTCTCATGATTCTTCCAACACTTTAAGGAACTTACCGAACCCAAACTACAATATACACACCTGCTTACATTGATCTCTGTTCTGCTGATTTTACGAGTAGTCACAAACCTTAGGCAGTAAAAAGTACAAGTAAAATATGAAATAAAAATAACCTGAGAGTAAAATAAGCAGAACGTGAGACAAATAAGTAAATGAGAGCTGTGTGCCATTAAAATGACAATATCTGTGTAACGTTCTAATGCCATCTGATGTTAGCGCTGTTCTTATTGATGTAGAATAATATTGTACACAAATCTGAGATGAGCTAATGAAGTCAAATGTTGTAATTTACTGACAGTGGCCCGTCACATCGACCACGCACTCACCATGGTACAACAGTTTACCGTATTATTCAGAAACCGTTTATAAACCTATTTAACTAGTGTACTATCTTCATTTTCATCATTCAAAGTCAATTACTAAGATTTTACCTTAGTGAAACAGGTTTATACATAGTATACGAAAATGTTATTTTTTGTTCAAATAAATGTACTCATAGAATCAATTTATGAACGCATATTGCGTAGACAAATATAGTTGTGTTTTTGTTTGCGCATTTTCTAGGTGTTCATTGTTGTTAGTAAGAAAAAGTGCAATCGAAAAGGCAACATGTTGAAGGGCTGTTCACTAACATGGTGTACATACATACATACATAACTTCACGCCTGTCTCCCATGGGGGTAGGCCTCTGCCTACCCCCATGGGTAGTCTCTAGTAAGGAACGCCAATTACTACGATTCTTACATACCTCTTTCGCTTCATTAACAGTCATCAATCTTTTCATGCATGCTCGTCGGTTAAGGGTACTTTTAATTTGGCCCTTCTTTAATATATCGCCAATCTGGTCACTATATGTCCGTCTAGGGCGCCCTCTACCGACGGCTCCATTCATATCCGCTCTGTATACTTCTTTCGTTACTCTACTTTCATCCATCCTTTCTACATGTCCAAACCAGTGTAACATTCCCTTTTCAATCCTTGTCACTACATCGTCTTTCAATCCACACCTCTCTCTAATAACACTATTTTTCACTCAATCACTCAATTTTAGTCCACACTTACTTCTCAGGGCTCTCATTTCCACTGCATTAATCCTGCTTTCATGCTTCTTCTGCCACACCCATGATTCACTACCATACATAAGCGTTGGTATCAATACACACTGCATTACAGCAAGTCGAGCTTTGCTGGATATTATTTTACTCGACATTACAGAGTGTAAAGCACCATTAACACTATTTCCCGCTTTCACTCTCCTTTCAACATCCCCGTCACACTTTCCATCTCTCGTAAATAGTGATCCCAGATACACAAATTCATTCCCTTGTTCTAATTTTTCATCACCTATCATTACCTGACATTCTGTTATCACCTCATTTCTTTCTATCACCAACACTTTCGTCTTGTTCACATTTAATGGTGTTCACACTAACATGGTGTAATGCAGTGTAAATACTTCCGTAGTTCTATGATCGCCTGGTCGAATGTAACGGGTCGCCTTTCAATTCAACAATATTGCTTATTGCCTGTTATCCATATTCATGTTTAGAACTATTCATAAATATATATAAGGTATGATTTTGAACTGAAACGAACTGATTGGAATATTTATTTGAGTAATACATATTTAACATACGCTCTATAATGCTGGTCATATCTATGGTCGTCATCAATGCTGAAATATCTATTTTTGTACATTACTACTTGGGACCTATTTACAGACAAAATCGCTTTCACAAAAAATTAAGCCACGATATGTGCTTGAGATAATAAAATATGATTAGTAATGACGTCATGGAGTCGTTACATAGCGTATGGTAAATGTGTAGGTGATTAATTATGTAGTGAACGCAATAATTATGATTTTGTTTGTTTGTGCAATATTCGGCAATACTCATCGTATAGTGAAAGATTGATTGACCGTAGATATGGAGTGTTAGTTTTAAGTGCATGTCCGTTATTCATAAGTACCACAGTTTCGTTCCCATTGTAAATACATAATATATAATAACGTTCTAAGGCCTTGCCCAGACATGCGATTGAATCGACCGAAACAATTTATTTAAAGTTGAACGTGTTCAGTTTACGCAAGGAGGTTGTGTTGAATGTATATAGTGAAGATTTTACGATACAGTTTGTTTTGTTATGGATTGTTTTCATTGATTTCAACTACGTCAGATTCTCAGTACTACTTGTCTATTGACTACAGGAATAGTCGGATATTTCTATTAAAATTGATTATCGCGCGTAAGCAGTATATCTAGACAAGGCCTTGGCAGGAGATGAGTAATTAGGGCCTCCCCACATAGTAATATGACGGCGCGCATGTAAAGCGACAGTTAGGCCACAAGGCCACGGCCTATCAATGAGCTTAGTATAAATTAAAATAATTAATATCAAATTTTCGTAATAATAAATTATATAAGCTTAGTACCAATCTGAAATTAGTCGCAAATTGTACAGGACAACATGATAATCGTAAAACAAATTAGAATTGTTTCAAGACTCGTTCGCGACATAGTAATGTTTAGTGCAGGAGAGAAATTGATTCTCATCGGGGAACGTTATCACATGACCGAATTAGGTTTTAGGCTGTGCTTAGTTTCGCTTTATTATTTATTAAAAAACATCCGTTGAAAAGCCGTCTCTAAAATGATCATCCTTCAAATCATGTGCACTTGTTTATTATTCTTATTGTTTTTTATACTTTTATATTTTTAGTATGAGTCTAAAAGGTTTATTTATTACGATGATAGATAATAACACGTAATTTAACGAAGTTACTAACACTTTCAGTGGTTGCATTTAAATATAATAGTAACAAACGAATGGTGCCTGTATTATAACACGGACGAAAGAATGAACCAATCGGAGCATTGAAATACAATGATTAAATAATCCTTATTATTTTCTAAAGAACCAGCCAATCTTCCATAACTAACGAATTATGTAGCAAAAAATCAATAGGATGAATATATATTGTAATAAATACCAACCAGAACAAACCCGCAAATGACTAAATTAAACCAAAAATCTTATCGCGCTTTCTATTCTAATGTCTTCGAATTCTGATTCTAATAATCACAATATTTAGCTAACCTATTTGTAAATATGCTGTTTTGTCTTAGTTAAAACGTTGAACGCTCTCCAGGAGCCTAGTTGACATGAGATTTAATTTAATACGAAAGTAAATGTTAACTAAATGTAAATAATAATTACTTACCTTAATTGTAGCTTACGTACGTTCCAGAACGGAAGATTTTAATAATGGTAATAAGCAAATATAAAAGTAATATTGCTTAGTTATTTGTGTCTATGTAATCATAACTTTATCCATAATATAAACAAAGTTACCATACTATTAAACTATTTATATTTGTAAATAATCAGGTTGCAACTATTTTCGTGGTCAGCAATTATTTTCTTTAAAGTAATCGAAAGCAATCAATATATAAAAAGTAAGGTAACATAATTTATTTTGATATACTGATATTTTTTCACGCAGTCTCCATCGTTAAATGTATGTATATAGCAGTCACGGTAATTGATATAATAAATAATAGTAAGACGACCATGCATAGTAACGTTGCAGTATAGAATATTCTTCCTGCGGACCAGGAGGTCCTTTGATAATAAAATGTTCGACGATCCTCCATTACATTTATGTACATAGCTGTCTCCCACACAACAATCGATACAATGTATATAAACATACTTCCTGCAATCTCTAAAGGCTACCTGACTTGCTTCCATTTTCCATTACCTTCTCTTCGCGAAACATGTTCGAGAATAATTTGTATACCTGTGTAACACAGTTTTTTAAACTATTCTAGGAGTTTCCTTCCATATTGATTAGTCTTCATAGAACCGTAGCACTTTAGACACAATACATTAAACGAAGCTTGTAAACTATGACACGAATGAATTTACTCTTCTAAGGAACGTTTATTGAATTAATTTTAATCAGTAGTTTCTGTATAAAACAAGAAAATAATACATAAACATAATACGTTCAGAGATGAATTTGAAACAAGAGTCAATATATAAATTGAATCAGAGAAACGTCGTTTTATTGATTTTTAATTGAACTGCAGCAATGTGGAAGTCGTTGTGTCTACCAAAACCTCTTCATTTCAATGGGCAAACTCCGGATTAATCAGGGTGGAGTTCTCTAATTGGTCAAGGCACTTTTAAGTCTCAATATTTATATACCCGTGTAGGTTTAGGTATCTTGTATAATAATTATAAACTTTGGAATCGTATTTATTGGTAGACTAGAAGAATAATGTTAAATTAACACGCCCGCGCCCGCGCCCGCGCCGTGCTCACGTATATACATTTTAAATCAATATCTGGCGGAGTCGCCTGGGCAGTCAGACATTCTAATACCAAACTTAATTCAATCGTTAACTTTTATAACCAATGTTGGAATAATTTTAAATATCACCACTTCTGAAAGCTTATTTAAAATTCCTGTACATTACGGACTTTGCCCCCTTTCCCTCTACTTTATTTGAAGCCAGCTCTTAGCAGTACGGCGCACTCACATTGTCTATTTTAAAACAATTAGTCTAAAACCCCGTGTAGAGCTTAATAAACCCATTTTAGTATTTTCGACGGATTTTTAACTGTTTTACACAGTAGACAATGTGTGTGTTAATGAAAAAGAACTTTCAATAAAATTTAACAAATTAAAGGCAAATTAAAAATTCAACGACAACAATAACAGCTGATATGTCGGCACCATTCTTATGAAATATGAATAACTAGGTTAAATTATATAGTCTATCAGATATATAATATGAGCATACGAACAACCAATCATGTTGAAACAAATCATGTGATCGATTTTCTTTTAAATTATAAAGATGGTAAGCATAACCTGTGTACTGCTTACCCCAGTATGAATCAAACACTGGCACCTATTACGCTTGGATTATCCAGACAAAACTCCACAAAAACATCCTCTCTTCGCAAAATCACGTTCCATTCGTCTTCCTCATAGTATCGCTTTTTAACAGCGCTGAGCGCTTATTCTTGTATTACATTTCTCATAAACAGCGACAAAGTGCATATATCATGTAAAAATAAAAAGACGGGACAGAGATGCATATATACCTGACAATCGAAATTTGGGCATTATTTCTCATTTCCTAATCTTTATCTTTTTGTTATTCTGAAATTTGCACCTTTTGTTTGTCTCTAGTGTTGCACGTACAAACTCGTACGCACAAATGTTAATACGAGTACCAACATCACATTTTCAATAATTTTGTGTCGATCATTACCTTGTTACTGTGATTTGTTTTAATTTATATAATAAAACATTAGAATTTTTTTAGTTGTAATTTTTATATTTTGAGATTCCGACTGCAGGGAATAAAAAACACATGATAATGTACATATATTTTATGTTTAAATTTCCTCCGTTGATAAATATTTTTTTAATATAAGTAATTGTATGTAATTTTTATATAATTTGTCGATAGTGAATAACAATGAATAACGAATGTATTTTTTTCTTATTTTAGAAAAGTTATTATTGGTACGCTGTAAGCGCATTTTATAATGAGTATTTTTAGTTTATCGAGTAAATAGTGAAGTGTTGTATGGAATTGTAATTTGCAATGTATAATTGTATATTGTAATATGGTAAGGATGCGTGTTATTGAGATGTTTATGTA